AAGGAGCTCACAATTAAATTGGCCAAAGCAATCCCAATAATATCTCGGTTTGACGCAATATCGAGTCCCGAAAGTGAGTTGCTGTTAATGTCCGAGGCCCGAGACCGAGGATCACTCACACACTTTCCATTGACAACTCCAAACAAGCTATTTCCAGAAGTTTCTTTGAACAATTCCTGTAATAAATATAACACAAATGGCCACATTATTTTTTCAGAATCAAATTATCGACACTATTTACGAGCTTGGAGAGATTCGAGTACCTCGGGATTCCCAGTTGGGGGCCATATCAAAAATTCTTCCCCAACTCGAGACCCCACAATCATCAGATTAAGCCTCCGGCAAACCTCAATGTAAATCACGCTAATCAAAATTGCTGTAAAGATTTTACCATAAAAATCAGCCAACATCATAAGAAAATTTCACTAAAATAGAAAAACAAAAATAAATAAACAAAGACTCATAATAAATTCAAGAAGTTAGTGTATTCGTCTGGGATTTCGAATGACATTTTGAAACTTTTTTAGATTTTTAAGATTTTCAGATTTTGGAGGAATACGATGGGATTTTGTAAGTTAAATACCTCAGGATTTTGTATGACTTTTGAAAATCATAAATGAATACCCCAAGACTCTTAAAAGTCTTAAAAAAAATGTAAATTAAATACACTAGGATTTTCTAAAGTCTTAAAAAGTCTTTAGAAATCTCACATGAATAATGTGAATTTAAATGCAAGAAATATATCAAGTCCAAATGTAATTTAAACAAAGATTTTAGTACCACTGGCACATCCTGAGCTTAAAGCCGAGTGCAAGTAAGAACACTTGGAATCTATCAAAACGGGTAACCTCTTAAAACCCCTCGACTTAAAAAGGACTTTATTGACTGCATCCAAAACCTCCACCAAATCACATCCGATCTCTCTTGGAACCAGCTCAGCCTCGACTTCTCTTGCTATGGCGTCCAGCTCAGCCAACCACTCGTTTATAGTCTTTCCCTCCATTGGCATAGCCTCCACCCTGTCCCACCCGTGCGAATCTTGCTGAGCTGGCACGTCTTTTCCCTCGTTATGGATTGAACGAGCATCCATTTCACGATTGTAAGCAAAATATGCCTCATCCTCAGCAGCAATATAAAGTAATGCCTATCAACAAATAAATAAGGAGATGTATATGTCACCAAAATTGGCAAACAAGGTATTACAATAGGCCCTTTTTGCCGAGATCAAGAAAGGTAATTTACTAATTTTTGCTATTTATGGAGCACCATGAAGTAATTTCTATAAATTACCTTAGCAAGTGAGACATCTTTGTCCTTGGACTTGAAAGATATCTCCCCAGTAAACTTTTTCCTAGCAGCTTCAAGAACCTGATGGATCATAAACGTAGATTGCGAAATTCAAATCATTATTACAAATTTATCACACTCGGAATGCCTTATGCAAAACAAAAGGATGAAATTCAACAGCAAAAAGCAATATAGATGATCAATTTATGACCTCCTTGTAAAAATCGGCTCTTGACGAATTAGGAGATTCGACCAGGGCTGAGGAAGAAGCCGAAGTTGAAATGCTCAATCTGTTCTTCTTGTTGAATTTTGGACAATCACTCCAAAATCCACCACGACCATCAAAATCGAACCTGATGATCGTAAAGAACAAAAGGGATATTGGGGATTGCCAAGCATTAGGACATAATGCTTCTTCTATTCACTTTTAGTATAGACACTTTACATGAAAACAATAAATCAAAAATTTTGTATTAGTCAAATCTCTCTCATCTACAAGTACAAAACAGATATCAATTTCATTAATTTACAACGAATAAAGCAGCCCATCCAAATACATGTGGTTGGTTTTTCTCCTTAAAAAATATATATNAATCTTGAGTGAAAAAAAAAGGGGGGGAAAGGGCTACTGTTGAAATCGGCCCATGAGGCAAAAAAGCTCAAGAAATTTGAAAATAAAGCCTCAAAACTAAAGCAGCCAAAAAAATCAGGAGGGGACCCAAAAAAAGGAAATCTTGAAGAACCCAACTGGGGAAATTCAAGAATCAAGCTCCCTCTTTTTCAGAGAGAGACCAAAACAGCTGCTTTTAGGAACCAAATCGAACAAAAAATTCAAGGTGGGTCTGAAGAACATAACTTCAGGGCATTAAATCCAAACACCCAAAAAATCAAAACACACACAAAAAAGGCACTTAGACAGAGACAAAAACTGGTGAAGATGATGGTGGTGGTGACGATAGAGACTGGGGCTGCCTGCAACAAGAAAAGCTCACACAAGCTTTATAGTGGGAGATGACGCTATAATTAATACAGCTGCTACGAAAAATCCCAAGATCCATAACAATAACAATTATAATAATAATAATAATATTTTTGTTGCGGGTTGTGATGAATTCTATCATCATTCATTCACTCAGCAGCAGTACAATCAAAACCCAACTCTGCCTGTTTTCCTTTATTTGTCTTTTTTATTCACCCCCCACCCACAGCCCTGGCCCACCGACACATATGCATGTGAATTTTTTATTTTTTTTTAAGTATTGCATTTATGTTGAAATTTTACCAACTTATTTATTGGACCAATACATTGAAGATAAATTAGTGGATTGGACTTAATTGAGAGGTTTGACCCGTCAAATCCACTATTGAGTTGGTTTGGTAAATAACTTATTTGATAAGCTTTTTGGGTCTAAAACTCTCGTTTAGGAAAAGTTAATTAGAGCAACGTTTTTTAGATAGAGGATTCAAAAAAAAACTTTTTAAAAAATTATTTAATTGGAACTTTTTAATTTGTCTTATTTTTACAATCTACATTGGTTTATGGTACTAATAAATAATAATATGTCATCCATATGATTAATTTATCTAAAAAAATGTAAAATTCATAACTTCTTCATCAAGTGTTAGTAAAACTTTTTGAAAAAAATAATATATTTATAAATTACCAACTAAAGAATATTAAATGTTTTGATATATTATTATTAAAAGAATACACCCTAAATAATAAAATGTCCTTATTGGTCATTTTGCAATGTCAAACAGCTATAAACTTTCAGCTATTTACCAAACACTTATTTAAAAACCGCTAATGCAATCCGCTGGTCAAATCAACTAATATAATCCGCTATTTGCTGATACAATTCGTTATCCGTTATCCGCTGATCGCCAAACAAGACCAATTTGTGTTTTGTTTTTCACGTGTGATTTGGAGTGATGGATATGTCATAAAAATGAGATCTTCTTATGTGTGTAATGTGATTTTTTGTAATTTGATTCCATGTATATGTTTGTTGTATAAGCATGTTTAACCAAGGAAAAAATTTGGTAGAAGTGGGGAAAGAATAGTTGAGGAATAGCGTCAAATGGGATGATCATATTGACAAGTTAAAGTACTAAAGTCTCCTTCACGGAATAATTTAACGGGATTGTAGTCATCCCTTAAATTATAATCAACTTGTCTATTGTGACTCATATTTTATGTAAAAGGTGAATAAAATCGAGCAGAAATATAAAAATTGAGCTGAAACGTGTAATTTTGTGTGACTTGGTTAGGTTATTCTTTAGTGTATAAAATTTTTTATTCAGATTTTTATATGTTGTGATGGAGTTCAATTTGATTATTTATAGTGCAGAAAATTTTTGTTAAAATTTGTGTGTAGTACGATGCAATTTGGTTTTTGGTTTTTACGCAGTTATTCACCTTTAATTTTGTATATCATGGATGTTTTTATGAGAATGACACTTGGATATTTTGTCCTGTATTTTATAAATAAGCATGTATATGTATATGTTCTATAATCTATTTAATATTAAAACGAAATGAATACATTTCTCTTGATTTTTACATATTATTGTATTATTGTGAGTCTTGGTGATCATCTACATAATTATTTTTATATACAATTAATTTTGTTGAATATAATTTAGTAAAATTATAATTTTCGTGATATAAGTATAATAATCTTACAAAATTATATTTTTCATGATATAAGTATAATAATCTTATATAAAATGTAATATAATACTGTACTCGTGGTTTTAATATTTTAAAATATAATATCGTGTTCTATATCCATATCATATGATATCCGTATTCCATATTCATAATTAGACTCATCTAATTTTCCAAACATCAACTTAAACTCTTAAAACTTTAGGTTATTCGTGTTATAAATGTTGTGCTTACTTTTAAAAAGGAAAAAAAAAAAATGAACGAATTTCCGGTGACTTCACATGGTACTTTGAACAGTGGATAACGTTATAAATGTATTGAGGTAATCAAGCCTCTTTACAAATTGTTATTATAATTTATATAATCCACAAACTAAAGAAAGAATATTCTGAGTATCAAAGTATTATAATTTATATCCACACTATGCTAACAAGAAGATTTCATGTTTGTCATTTTACAGTTTGGATGAACTCATTAATAGAATATCCCAACAAATGAGTGAGGTAGATTTGAATGATGAATATATTATTACAAAATTGATTATTAATATAATATAATTGAGATCATGGTTGCAATTCTTTGGACCCAATTACCCAATATCATTAATAGTTAGACTAGTTTGTGTAGCCCACTTGTTTACCATATAAATTTTAAATTGATAATAATTAGATCCATACTAGTTTGTGTAGCCCACTTGTTTACAATATATATTTTAAGTTGCTAATAATTAGATCCGAAAGTTTATATTACGTTTCGTATGCATACTTCATTGGAGACTTTATAAAATAAATAAATTTGTAATTATGATGGAGATGCGTTGTCCTTTCTGACAAGTACGTCGTTTGTCATCATCGTTTAATTAATTTATTTATTTCATTTTATTATAGTATTATTTGCATACTAGTTTTTGTCCCGTGCATTTGCACGGAAAACTATATGATACATGAAAAAATAATAAAAATTATAAACAATAGTAAAAATCATAACAAAATCATTGAAAAAAATTAAGAAAAAAAATATAAATATTCTTAAACACTTCTTTATAAAACAACGTCGTGGTTTTTTTATCGTCAAAATCTCCCTCAGCTCAAATCAAAATCTTCAAACCCCACTGACTTGTAACTCTAAAAAGCGCTACGTATAATTGCTCATGACTAAATGCAGAGCTCTTCAGTAGTAAGCCGACGTGCGACAGAGACTGTCTTTGACTCTTATTGATCATGTCATAGCATAGGAAACACTTCTTTATATTGTTTGTCCTTGACTCTTATTGATTGATAGAGATTGTCCTTGCTTCTTAATAAAAAAAATACCATCTAAATATAAATGAGTAAATATAATATTAATTTTTTATATAAACAAAAAATTTAAAGTAATTGATAATGAGTATAGAATTACCCTTGCGGATTCAAGTTATTTCAACGATGTTCTTTTTATATATCTAAGATTTAATTTTTTTTTTCTGATTTATATGAATATAAGTGCATTTAACTAATTTTTATAAAATTTATTGAAAAAAGTTACTATTTTTTTGAAAAACTGATAAGATATTAAGATAATACTGTACTTAACATAAATGTGAGATTAATTAAAATAAATCTTTTTAATTTAGTCATTAACTAATTAAATTTAACTATAAGAAACTGTTGATGTCGAAAATCGGACGATCAACCGTCAAATGTAATACGAATTGCTTGTATAAAAATGAAGAACAAAATTGATGGAAAATGATATTTCTTTATTATGTTTTTGGGTAGAAAGTGAAAAAAATTGAGAGAGCCATCCAACCTCCCCTACTCTCTCTCTTTTCCTTGTATTGTGTGGGAGAAGAAAAAATGAAGTCCCCCTTCTCTCTTCATTCTTATCTATTTATACATGCCCTCTTCCCTTTACAAATGGGCAATAGAAAAATAAAAATTGTACATTATTATTTAATAAGAAATAATCGTCGTGGGACCCATCTATGACTTTTGACAGTAGCCTTCTCGAAAATTGTCATGTCGAGCGGGGCGGTTTATTGATGATATGCGGGTCATCCGACTACTTTGAACTCTGTCCGGTTTGGCAACGGGCGGACCCGACATTGAGGGATCCTGATTGGCTTTCGGACGGTTAGTCTTGATAACCTGTCTGTATATTTATTTAACCTATATTTTCGGCTTCTTGGTTGTCGGGCTGTATTTCACTATTTTATTTATTATTTAATTAATTGGAGCCAAATTGGGTATCAACAGGAGGCCCCCGAGTTTAGGGCATGTTCTGGATGGAACTGTTATGAAGTCGCGTTTAATTTTTACAATTTGGCAGTGTTTTCGCCTCATTATCTTTTGAGCTTCGAGCTCTTTTTATGGCGTTAGGATTTACGCGTAATGAGAGATATTGGTAAAATCGCAAACATGCCGACGAGTGCGCGTGTCGGATAATTTTTGCGTGATTCAAGAGATCTCATTTATTTTGTCGGCTTTTACTTTATGCGTCTCGAGGACTCATCTAATCTTTATCGAGTAACTTTGGTTACTTGGATCGTTGTTTTGTTGTTTTCGGGCACTTTGGGACCCTTGCGCGTTTTGTTAATCTTTTTAGGCTTTAGCCTAACGTATTTACGATAATCACGCTTTAATCTTTGACGAGTTGAGTCAGTTCGAGAGAATGTGCAATTTTGCGAATTTGCTATTGGATGGGGCCTGAGCGGCCTAGTTGGGTAATTTGGTACCCGTTTTTATGCAGGAATGCATTTTGAATTGTCGACATGAGTGAGCTCGGAGCTCTTTGTCTGAGTGAGCTTTGAGCTCTTTATTTCTTACGAGACTGTATGCATAATGCGATCACATGAGGATGCGTGAATGTATGATGAATGTATGTAATGAATGTATGTTATGAATGTATGA